GAGTCCCCCCAGCTCCGTGACAATCAGGAGTTCCACTGCTCAGCACCGGTGGGTGCTGGGGGTGTCTGACCATGACTTTGGGGTCTTTAAACTCTCATTCTGGGGTGGGGGGGGAGGCCAGGCTCCATTTTGAGGGGCACACGGTGCTCCCCTCCCTGCCCTGTCCCCCCTCCATCTGCTGCAAGGGAGGGTGATGCAGCAAAACCCACCCCCTCTGGGAGGGGACAGTTTGGGGACACCCCAAGCTCCCTGTGCTCACCTACAGTCCTGAGACAATGGGGGGGGTGAGGTGGGGGCTCTGGGGGGGTTTGACACCTCTCTGAAGGCTGGGCACGTCCCAGGCTGGCCTGAGGGGTGGGGGACTGGGGACATCCCACCCTTGTCAGCCAGTGTCCCCCACTAACCTGGGGGGGATCCGTGCCAGGCTGGGGAGGGTCATGCCCAGATGGGAGACCCCCGAGCCCCCCCACTTCACTCCTGGAGGGTTTAACCCCGGGACTCTTTCTCTTGGGGATCCCCCCAGAGTGCATCTTGGGGGCATCCCAAGGTGTGCAGTGGGATTTTGGCTGGGAAGGGGGTTGGGAGGGGTCTGCAGGTGAGGGTTGAGGTGCCAGTGAGACCCCCCCCCGTGCCCCCAGCCCCCCGTGTCCCGTGCTATGAGCGTTCGGCGTGACTTCTCCACAAGCAGCTGCAAATGAAAATGGAGGATATGTCTTTGTCTGGCCTGGATAACAGCAAACTGGAGGTGAGCTGCCCTGTCTGGGGGTCTGTCTGTCCCCTGGGGTGTCCGTGTGTGCCCCCCCATCCCTAACAGCCCCCCTGGGCCCCCAGGCCATCGCACACGAGATCTACACGGAGCTGGTGGAGGATGCCTGCCTGGGGCTGTGCTTCGAGGTGCACCGGGCTGTCAAGTGCGGGTACTTCTTCCTGGATGACACGGACCCCGACAGCATGAAGGACTTTGGTGAGCCCCCCGAGTTCCCTGGGGGTCAGGGTGATGCTGGTGACAGGGACACAGCCAGGCCCCTGCTCTCTGAGGGGATTGGTGCTCCCCACACACAGGGATTTGATGGGGATTAAACACCCCAATGTCCCCCCAACAGTGACCAGACTGTCCCAGAGGGGTAAATGGGGGGGCACTGAACCCCAAAACGTGGTGCTGGGGCCCCGGGGGGCACAGCTGGGGTGTGGGTGGGAGGTGGCAGAGACCCCCTGGCAGCACTGCCACTCGGGTTTCAGCCCCCCCCGAGCCCCGCTGCGTCTGTGGGGAAGGGTCTGGCAGCCCCAGGGACCCCCCAGAGCAGATGGGGTGGGGGTCTCAGTGCAGGGGCTGAGCGTGTCCCCCCCGCAGAGATCGTGGACCAGCCAGGCGTGGACATCTTCGGGCAGGTGTACAACCAGTGGAAGAACAAGGAGTGCGTGTGCCCCAACTGCAGCCGCAGCATCGCCGCCTCGCGCTTCGCCCCTCACCTGGAGAAGTGCCTGGGCATGGGCCGCAACAGCAGCCGCATCGCCAACCGCAGGTGGGGCTGCCTGCTCTGGGGAAACTGAGGCACCGGGCCCGAGCCTGCCCGCCTCCCCCCGTGGGGGGCTGTGCTTCGGGCTCTGAGGAGCCTGGGATGTGAACTCGGCCGGTTCTGGGTCTCCCCAGTCCTCGCTTTCCAGCCTGGGGGTGTCCAGCTTGGTTCCCCCTGGAGCTCCTCTTGTTCCTCCCTGCCAGTTTATCCCTCCTGGGAAAGTGAGCTGGGAACCCCGGGTCCTGTGTCCCCCCACCTTGGTTCCTGTGTCCCCCACCTTGGGTCCTGTGTCCTCCCCTTGGGTCCTGTGTCCCCCCCCTTGGGTCCTGTGTCCCCCCCCCTTGGGTCCTGTGTCCTCCTCTTGGTTCCTGTGTCCCCCCCTTGGGTCCTGTGTCCCCCCCTGGATGCTCTGTCCCCCCTGGGTCCTGTGTCCCTGCCTCGATGGCTGCTGGGGACTCCTCTCTGGATCGCTGTGTGCTGGGGAGGATGGGAGGGTACCAGGGGACATGGGATGGAGGACGTGGGGCAGACCCTGGCCATGATCTCCTTCCCCTCCCCGCTCAGGATCGCGAGCAGCAACAACCTGAACAAGTCAGAGAGTGACCAAGAGGACAATGATGACATCAATGACAACGACTGGTCCTATGGCTCCGAGAAGAAAGGTGGGGAGGGGTCCCTGGTGTCCTGAGGGGTGGGGGACACGTCCTGCCTGCCCCATGGCCCCTGAACCCCGGTCCTGGGTGGGTGTGTAGGGGAAGAGCAGCCGTGGGTGGTGGTCCCAGCCCTGTGGAGACAGCAGTGGCTCTGGGAAGGGGCTGCATGCACTGGAAAAGGTCAAATCTTTCCTTTCTGTCTCTCCCCACAGCAAAGAAGAGGAAATCGGATAAGGTGAGGGGTGCAGGGAAGGGTGGGGGGCGCGGGGAGGACACAGGACACCCCCAACACCCCCGTCTCGTTGCAGAACCCCAACTCGCCCCGCAGGTCCAAGTCCCTGAAACACAAAAATGGTGAGGGGGCGGGGCTGGCACCCCTGGGGTGGGGCTAAAAAATGAGGGAGGGGGCTCACACCTTTGGGGCGGGGGGGCTCTCCCTGGCTGGGATGGTGGTGGTGGGAGGGGGCCCTGGGGGTCCCAGGCAGGGCCAGACTGGGGGCAGGACCCCCCCTCACCTTTCCTCCCTGCCAGGCGAGATCGGCGGGAACCCCGATCCCTTCAAGGTGAGCCTGGGATGGGGGGAGATGGCTGCCAGTCCCTGCTCTGCCTCCCCAGGGGCTGCATTGCCCCCCCAGGAGGGTCCCCCCAGCTTTCCCCAGCCCTGAGCCTGCTCTCTGCCCCCCCAGTACAGCAACTCAGCTGGCATCAACTACGAGACGCTGGGCCCCGAGGAGCTGCGGACGCTGCTCACCACGGTGAGGGGATGGGGCAGGGGGGTCCCAGCTGGGCAGGGGGCACCACAGGGGATGGGACCCCCGGGGGTCTCTCCCAGCTGAGCTCCATCCCACTGGGGCTGGTTTCCAGGCTGGGAATGGGGGCGTGCAGGGGCAGTGGCTACTTTGTCTGGGACTCGGCACTGGGAGACTGGAGGACCCCAGGGGTCACTCACCTGTCCCCCCCAAATTCACCTGTCCCCCCAAACTCACCTGTCTCTTCCCTCCCCAGCAATGCGGGGTCATCTCTGAACACACCAAGAAGATGTGCACCAGGTGAGGGCGGCCTGGCCTGGCCCTGCTCACTCTGGGGGGCTTCCCCAGGGTCCCCAACATGCCCCATCCCCATGGGAGGGGGGAAGGCCCATCTCAGTGCCGTGTCTGGTCCCCAGGTCCCTGCGGTGTCCCCAGCACACGGATGAGCAGCGCAGGGCAGTCCGGGTTTACCTCCTCGGGCCCTCCGCGTAAGTGGGTGCAGATCGGGGTCCCGGGGTCCCCAGGGTCCTGTGGGACAGGGACTGGGGGGGCTGCATGGGGTGCTCAGGAGGGGCTGGGGGCAGGGACAGGCTGGGGAGGCCTGGAGGAGATGGGAGCCCAGGGCTGGGGTTGGGATTTGCAGCCCAGCAGGGTGGTGGGGGCTGGGCCGAGCCCCTGGGTGCTCCCCTGGCATCTGGGGGGGCTCTGTCCCCTCTGCCCTCTGTAACACCCGTGCCCAGGTCCCTGCCCGAGGCCGAGGGCGGCGTGGAGAACGACAGCTTCGAGGTGGCCGAGAGCCAGGCCCTGATGAGCCGCCTGCAGTGGGATGGCTCCTCCGACATCTCCCCCTCGGACTCGGCCTCCTCCAAAGCCAGTGAGTGTCAGGGGCTGGGGGACAAATCCTGTGGCACAGACCCCTCTGAGGGGCAAATCCTGGGGCACAGATCCCTCGGTGGGGGCAAAACTGGCTGTTCTGGCACGTCCCCAGTACAAGAAGGGTTGAACAGACCATGCCTCCAAAGCCTGGAGCGCCTTGTCCCCCACTTGGGAGGGGCAGGAACATTTTGCGGTACATTTTCTTGGGTGTTGACCAGAGTTGGGCATCATCCCCTCTGTTTTGGGGCTCATCTCCTCCCTGACACCCCCATTTCTCCCCTTTCTCCCCTCCCTAGGTACAAACAACTCCGAGTCCCGCAAGACCAAGAAGAAGAAGCCCCACCTGGGGCTGGTGAGCGGTGCCCCAGGGCTCGGCTCCAGCAAGAAGAAGAAGCCCAAGCCCCCCGCCCCCCACACCCCCAGCATCTACGATGACATCAACAACTGAGCCCCGCCGAGCTGGGGAGGGGCAGGACGGACAGAGGGACGGACAGGGGCCAGGACAGCCCCCAGGCACCCCCCGGGCCAGACACAACGTGGGTACCGGAGCACAGAGGACTCGGCTGTGGCTGGAGTGGGGCTGGATTTGGGGAGCCCCCGTTAGTGCCCCCCTTCCTCCCCGCCCTGCCCCGGTGCCTCTATTTATTCTGTGACAGTTTTTGTACGTGGGGCTCCCTTTGGGGTGTCACCCTCGGGGGGGGTACAGCCCCCCCCTTCCCTCCCAGCACCCCCAAAGCCAGCTGTGCCCCCCCACACCTGCTCCTCACTTACCCCAGTGGGGTGGGAGGCACCTGGACACCGTGGGCAGGTCTGGGCCTGGGTCAGGGGGTTGTGAATCCCCCCTGCCCTGGGGTTTTGGGGTGAGCCCCCACTCTGGGGCTGCCCCCCTCCCTGCCCTGGGCTGGCACTCGCCGGTCGGGCTGGCTCAGGAGGGGGGGTCACACTGGAGGGGGCCTTTCCCACTCAGAGGACAAGGGAGCACCCTCTCACCCCCAGATCTGTTCAGCTGTGCCTGCATTCAGCTGTTGGGGGTCTTGAGGGCCTGGCAGTGCCCACACAGGGGGTCACAGGGGGCTGCATGCTGCATCCTTCATGTTTGGGGGTGGGTCTGGGGGTGGGGGGAGCTGCTGTGACCATCCCTGTGCCAAACTGTTTGGGGAGGGGGGGACCCCAACTTGCCAGGGACGTCTCGGGGGGAGCTGGGAATGGAGCAGAACTGGGGGGGAAGCCCAGCCCTGCTTCAGCACAGAGCCCCCCACTCCTGGTGTCCCCAGGGCAGCTCTCCACGCGTGCCTGGGGAACCTGCTGCTGCAGTCGGGGGGTCAGTGGGGACCCCCACAGGCTCTGCTTTTGTTTGGGGGGGGCCGGGACCAGCGCCCCGCTGTGCGGGCTGGGGGGGACAGGTCCCTCTGGCTGGATCCAGGTCACCCCCTGCCCTGTTATCCCCTCCCTGCAGCTGTTCTCCATCGCAGGGGCTGTGCTGGGGACAGGGTTGGCTCCATCCCCTCCCTTGTCCCCCCCACCATGGCTGTCTGACCCCCCCATTTTGGCCATATGTCCCCGGGGTGGAGCTGTGTCTGTCCCCACACCCCGTGGCTCCTCTCGCTGGGACTCACTCATTATGGTGCTCTCGACTCTGGATTCACTATTGTTTTCAAACTGCTGCTAAAGGCTGGCCTGGGGGGGTCCTGCAGAGCCCTGGGCACCTCAGAACTGCAGCCCCCCCCGCATGGGGACCCCCGTGTGGTCCCTCCTGGTGTGGCTTTGGGGCTGGGCAGGTCTGGCCACCGGAGCATGCCAAGCTGGCCTTCGCGTGCCCCGGGGCCCGAGGATGGGGCTGTGGGCACCCAAAAACACGGGGGACCACCCCAAACTGCCTGGGGGGGGCGGGCACGGCGAGCTGGGGCTGTGGGGGGGGGAGGCAGCCTGAGCCCCTTCAGCTGCAGGAGAGGCGCTGCAATTTGGGGTCCAAGGGGTGCAGTGGGGCTTGGGGGGCTCAGCCCGTGCCCTGTGACCCCCCCAGGTCGGTGTCCTCCCCCCCCCCCC